ACACACACACACACACACACACACACACACACACACCGTCAAAACCGGGAAGCGCTGTCTTATCCTGTGTCAATGGGTACTGTACACTATCATCCCGACAGAAAGTACTGTACTGCAAACACACTTAGTATGTAACCTTCATCGACTTGAACATTCCCAGCTGACCCCCCACCTCACCCCACATCGATTCCGCAGAGATGACCTGTGTGTGTGTCATGGGAGGCTCCAGATCCTGTCCAACCTGTTCTCGTGTCCTCTTTTCCCCGTTTACCGGTCACTCTTTTCTTTCTCTACAATAATAATTATGTCCCTAGGTGTAAAACTAACCACTGCATACTGAAGTGTGCGACATTGGCTCGATTGGAATCATGTGTAATTCTGTGCAAGAAACCCTGGTTCGAATCCCTGAAAAGCATTTCTTCTAGGATTATTGAGTTGTTTGCCATGCAAAGCACTTACGAGCGTCCCCCCCCCCCAAAAAAAAAAAACAACAACAAACAAACAAACAAACAACAACAACAACAAACAAACCCAACAATATTTTTTTTTTAAAATCCAACTCTCAGTCCTATCGGAGAGGAACGTTAAACCGCCTCTCAAATAACGCAACGGTGTTGATTAGGGTGTAAAATCCGTACTGTCTACACTTCAGACGTACTTGCCAAAACCACGACCCCTGCAAGAGGAAGAAATAACCTCTCGCCAGAGGACAGAGCACAGAGTTTCTGTATTTTATCTCCGCCGCAACGACCACAATGTTGAGGAAAATGGCATAAACCAACAGCATGTGAACCTGGCTGTCCAGTGAGGATCTCCCGTGGAGGTGAAACCGAAACAACAGCCACTCCACGAACAAGGCGATGATGGAGACGATGTAATCCAAGTCTGGAACGAGGGTTCTCTTGTAGTGAGAGAAAACGTCCACGACTCCGGATAAGCCGAAAAAGAAGAACATGGTCGCGTGCTGTGCGTTGTTCATGCCGAAATGGTCTCCCGTCCACTCATAGCCCGTCACGATCTCCCCTACACATCCGATAGTCGAAACCAGGATCTTCACGAAAGATTCCAAAGGCAGGTTCTTGAGGCGTCCGCATAAACAATCACATAAGAAAAAATGTGTGGAGACAAATTCCGATTTCCGTGGACGGCAAGCGAGAAATCGTCGAAAGGTTTGGACAATGTACCACAGAGCAAACACAATGAAGAAAGTTCCTGGAACTGCATGTCCAACGAAAGTGCCCATCTTGACAATACGTTTTGTTCCGATATGTCACGGAGGCTGACTACTTATTACAGACAACTCACGGGAGATTGGCGGGTGCTCTGTAGGTGTGGTTTGCGCCTTCTCTCCTATCAAACATCTATCGTTTTTCCTTATCTCCTTTCCTTCTTTTTTTTGGTTGTATTTTACTCTTTCGTAACACCTCTAATCCACGGCACTAATTTGACCTATCCGTGTTGCAAGTGCGGTAAAATTCTAACTAAAACTAAAACAGATAGCTTTAGTCAGTAGTCGGGTAGATTCTGTCTGTAAACATCATCACATTCACAAAACAACGATACTGCAACCTTCGCTTTATACGTGAATACTCCCCTCGAGACTGACGTAAGACTGCAGACTACATACATGCAATAGCACACGCTCCCGTCAAATAAAGATCCCCTAAGGCTACATGTTCAAATCAAATAAAGACGTCCGCAATTCAAGGACAAAGTTAATGTACGTGGCTTGCAATGCTCGTTCGTCGCTTCATATATATTTTTAAAAAACCCATCCCAAACTACACACTGGAGTGAAAAGCAGGAACGCCCCCCGCTTGTCAGGCTGCTCGAATGAGCGCAGAGCGACAGTCTGTGCACATAAACTACTCTCTCTCTCTCTCTCTCTCTCTCTCTCTCTCTCT